TTCCGTAAGCACATTTTTTCAAGTCCCAGGAGATCATTATCACCGTCTCCAGGCCCTAGCATAAGAATAAGAATAGACATTTGGGAACAGAAAGTGAGGAAGAGACACAGGTGGTCAGAGACGGGTTGCTTGTTTCTTAAAATAAAACATTTTTCTGGAAGTAGATTTGCAAAAATATGCAACAAAGCCTTTCCCTTTTGAATATCTTATACCACAAGCCTTCTTTCATTTTGTGACCTTATGAGGTCAGATTATCACCTCGTGAAATGGTAATGTTCTACGTGCTGTTGATTTGATTGGAATGAAAGGGGAAGGACTTTATCTCTCTTTATACAAACTAAACCATTCGTTTGTGTTTGGTGTAAAAATTTGAGATTTAGGTTGGGCATCTTGTTTTTGCTGAATAATTAAAAAAGGGCATCGAATGTGACTTTTTATGTATTGCACTACAATTAAAGGAGAAAGAAAAGAATTTCCGTCCTTCTGAGCTCCCTCAAATTAAATGAGGAATTTGATTAGTGTCTCAACGTGGGAGGCAATCTTTTTACACTGTATTCATCTCATCATTTGTTTATGTCAAACTTTGACGCCGCGACTTGAGTCCAACCTAGTCAAGTTGTACCATTCTTCTAGATGTATATTGCTAAGATGACCCGTTAAATATGAGCAAACAATGTTTGCATCAATCAACTGACCAAAATGACTTCCGTTCGGCAGCTTTTCCAAGATCTCGCAACCCAGCACCTGTCATTCTGTAAGATAAAATTAAGCCAATGGCTCCTGCCTCTCGGGCTGATATCTGTTTACAAACTTCTTGACAATAGGCTTACTCGAAGCGATGCAGTAAAGTCCTCAAGTTTCGGGAACTGCCCGCCTGACATGCGAATAATCTCCAAAAGAGAAACTAGAAACGTATACATCGGCAAAAAAGCCCCGCTTATATTTGCTTTCATCAATTTTGTCAAACGGCGGTTGTAGCAAAGATACAAAAAGGGACTTCCATTGATCTGGTTTCGCGAGGTTTAACAAGTTCCTGTGATAAGTCACTTTGCCGCTGTTGCATAATTTAATTCATAAATAAGTAGACTATTCAAACAAATCGTATGCACAGTGTTCTCTGCACCTTATTCCACTATTTAGCCTTTAAGTACGTTAGAGGAAAACTTTACAAACTTTCAATAAATAAAGTGGAGTAAAAAAGTTAGTTACTGCAGAGAATGAATAGTGTGTTGTAAGCAATCGTTTCTGGCATTGATAACCTTATTGGGTGGAATGAAGCTCCTATCATTCTACCTTCTCCTCTCACCCTCCTTTGTTCCATCGTTAGTTGATATGCCTATCTTCAGAAGTCGGAGAATGACCCTCAAGTTTTCCTATTGTTTATTGACTAGTCTATTCACAATACACTGTTGAATGGCATTTCCCTTTCGGTGAAATAAATCGTAGTGATTTAGTGTTCCTTTTTTTGCGGTGATTCTACCAATCGCAAATCACCCTTCAATCTAGTTCTTGGACAACACTTTGTGGGCGATTTTGTCCAACGGTTTATAGCGTCGCCATCGGCGAGCCCACGTTCACCTACCTTTCGTCTCAACCTCGGGCACGACGATTTTTTTCGCCTTCGAGCGCGAGGAATTTGCGGTTATACCACTACGTCCAGGCTCCTTGTCTTTACCTTTAGCTAAGGCGTGGCATCTTATTAGCTATTCACTTAATCTATGGAATTCATAAAATATTACATTTTATGTGTTTCTTTCTCGACAGTATGTTTTCCACGCTCTTGAGGGCTGGTATATGACTGAGAAGACTATAACAGAGAACAGTGCTTTGGTTTGTATTTCAGTGACTTAAATCAGATATAAATTGGCTTCCACCCCATAGGATGACTCTGGCTTAGAGGCATGCCACATGCGCCTTCCGAATGATTGCCCTGGTACCTGCCAATGTGGCTAAATGGGTTTGAAGTATTTTATCAATTTATCTTTTACCATTCAATGAGCTCACTCCTTCCGACTCGAAATAAGTAAATTAAGGCAAATCCGTTCACCAACGTTGACTGAACTTGATGGATATCCCTAAGTCCCACCTTTGATGCGACAGTACCTTCAAGTTCTGGGGATAGTTTGAAGTCAAAGCGGATTTACACCCAATATCGGCAGATTTTTAAGGCTAAAGGGAAATAAATTTCATCGTTGCCTCACTGTATTCTCACCATACACGTTAAAGAGATGTAGGTAGGGAAAGAGCGAGTGAAGACTTAACCGCAATCTCATTTGGGGTTATGCCAAGCACCAATATTGGTGGAGGCCAACTTCGATTCAAGCCCATGATAGGGATTATGAGTATCAAACAAATCCTTACTTCGTTGGACGTGACATTGAAAAGACTTCGTGATACGCTCAAGGCTAAGCTCTTAGAAATCCGCCCCACCTTCTAATTTACTTGGATTGCTTCGCTTTTTGTTCACTTAAGTATCTTCAAAAGTGTAGCTCCTACCATCATCCCATTTTTCACTCAACTCTTTTCAACTATGCAATGGAACTTCAAAGAGCAGCAGTGAATTATTCGCAGATGTCTCTTTATATACAATATCATTTATAAAAGATCTCTTTAACTTGTGTTTGGCATCACTTCTGACTAAAGGGTTTGTTTTTCAACCCAACCATCTCCATGGACCGATTGGTAACTTTGCTGTGGGATGCAGTAAAGTGAAATGGCGAAATTTCTACTTTTGTGTAATGTGTACGATGTCATGCCCCACCGTCATAGCTGTCAAAAGGGTTTATATTTATTTCCCCATTTCATTCACTACATTAGTTATGTGGCTTTGGTACGCTCAAAACTTGCCCATCCTTCCCTCCAATTAAGGCATTTGATTACTCTTAAGCCTGAGCCCTTTGTCATCACCCACTTTTAAAGTAACATCACAAATTCTTTGATTTTAACTTATTAAAAAGTAACCTATCCCTAAATAAAAGTACAAGTACAATTTTTTTGAATCTGTAGTTTGTAGAGATGAGACGATTCCTCCGATTGGCAGCAGACGGTTCGGAGGAGATTCGATGGAATAAGTTGGGACTGGCGAAGGAGGTACTCGCAGAACTTCCAACCCAGGTAACATTTGAGTCTCTCTTTAGTTTTATCTTTTTTATTTGTCTAACATAGCAAGCTTTTCCACGATGCCTTCATCGTCCCATTCGATATAAGGATTTCAAATGATTCGACTGTCTTAGAGGTGAAGAAAAGCATTGAAATCAAAAGTCTGGAACGCAAAAGTTTCTGGAAAAAGTGTGAACAAGAACAACGTCTAGAAGATGCCCAAATATCTTCAGAATTATCACCGCGGAAAAGAGGTGTGGAACCAAGCTGTTTTCTCATTTTAACCCAAACCACCTCCAAAAGCCTGACTTTCCAATTCTCATTCAGAGCAGTGAAAAATAGGAGATAGTGGAAATCCAGGGGACAATTTTCTGACTCCGTGTTAGATGAGTGAATTCCTACATTGACAATATCAGAGTAGGGAAGTCATTCTCTTACAACGTTGAGCTTCAAAGCAATTTAAATAGTAACCTAAAAGTGCTTCAAGCAAATCAGTTATTCACCTTCAGTAGTGAAATAAGCATCATATTTTAGCAAAAACAGTGCCTTTGCATTTTTTTTTCATTATGAATAGACAAAACTCTTAAAATACGTCATTCTATGCCCTCTAAAACAATATGGTTATGACGATTGTTCCATGAAGTTGGAAAAAGTTGTAGGAGTATGAAGAAAGCTATGCTACTAATGTATGAAAGGGTTAAGATTGGCGGCATGGCTTGGAGGCCATGCCTGAGGGTAGCAGTACAATGGTCCCTCTCGTCTTTTGAGATTCTCCCCCTGCGCTCCCTGGGCCAAATTTTTGCATCGGCCAACACAAAATAGTCGGTGCTGTAATGCGAGGCACCCACTAATCAACCGCTTCAGCCATCTAATTTGTGCGTAGATGAGAAGATATCTTACTACAACGTCACTGTCCCTCTTGGCAATACCGGTGGAGCTAAAGTATCCTCCTGTTTGGGAATTGTGTTATGGGGAAGGGAATACTGGGCTGGCCATCTTGTATGGCCTGAAACTAGAGTCACTTAATTAAGGGAATGGTTCAAATAAGTCTCATGAAGATAAGGCTTTGAGCCCACTCCCCCTCGTCACTTTATTCTTACTTTTGTGCTGCTTAGCTCTGTCTATCTGAGTTTTATCCTGCTGGTAAAGAGATAAGGGCGGAGGTATCGAGTGTTCACTCAATTGACAACTTCAAAATACGTACCTTAGAGAGATCTACAGCCAACTTTTAGATGGTTCACGGCTGGCAATCTTGCAGAATATGGAATTGGGGTGGTTGCCAACGGCTGACGTAATTTTCAATCCTTCTGTTAAGGATCTTGAAATATTCTTCCAGCCGCAGCACACACCCCATTTCCGTTACTTTAAGATTCAGCATTTAATAATAGAAATCGGTGTAGTTGTCCTTCAGGATCGGTATCACTTTCCACTCCTTCTAATGTGGAGCCAAAGCTACGCCTGAAGTCAAAAGAAATCATAGAGGTATGGCAAAAGACGTATTAATGATATGCAAAAGAGCTTGGGCTATCGGCATGGCCTAGAACACTAAATCTCCTCGTGACCAAAACGAAAAGCAAAAAAAAATAACCAAAGTATTATTGGTGTTTGTATTAATTTTTAGATGAGTAGCTTTTTCATAAAGCATCGCCTTCTTCCCTCAAACAAAGTCCCCTACCGCCCAGAGCGCGCAGATCAACTGGCCGATTCAGCTTGGTGTCACGCCTACATGCAGCCTCTTCATCATCGACCTTCCACAACCTCCTTGTCTAGCCAAACGAGTTTGGCGCCTCGACACAAACAAAAACTTCGGTTTCAGGAGGATGTGGAGAATTTAGAAAAAAAAGAGGAAGTGCAAAACACCGCCTCCAATTCTCATCGCTGTTTGTCGATGTCCAAAACCGCTCCTGCAGAGGTAGCCGAAACTCCACCTCGTCAAACCCGAAAACTCGGTCGGATGCGACGAGAAGTGTCATTTGAGGACCCGTCATTTCGACACCACAGAGTTGTAGGTGGCAACAGGCAGATCACCTATGAGTTGATCGAGGATCCTGCAGAGGACACTTTGGTGCAAGGCAGACATCAGAGCTGGCGCGGACGGCCAGAGAATATCGTTTCTGAAAGCCTATCTCAGCGACAGCTGAGTCAACAGCGGGATGACATGGTTCGCAGGAGACAGCCTCATTTTTTTCCGTAAATTACGAGCTCACACATGCATACCTATCAAGCCTCACCTCTCTTATCTGTGTATGCATATTGTGGGTTGACTTTTTGGCACTTCTTTTTGACTATGTTTTTGTCCAATCATGTAATTGACTTGCCTGCCGCTTTTAAGGCTGAAGACCTTAAACTTCTATCGTTAACGGACCAAATGAATGTCTGTACACACTGTCAGACACTTGTAATATCCATTACCTATCACCTCTGTGGGCGTCTTATTTGATTTAAAAATAAAAATACTGGTCCAAATGAAATAAATTACGATTATGATTTTCAAAAAAATGTTCTACTTTAATTTGTTGTAAAGGATGGAGTTCTTTACTACTAACACCTTGACACCGTTCTACCCTTACCCAGAGTAATTAAGCCATGTTATACTTAAGTTGTAATTAAGTAGCATAGAAGGGGCCAAATATATCATCATGTTAACTAACCTCGTAATGCACTATTTAATTGGGCCTGGAAATTAACAGGCAGCTAGAGTTTGTCTTCAAACTATTTTTTGTTTTCCTGTCATTTATACACGAACCCAGGTCTATCCCGGTGGGTGATGGGCATACTCCTGGCTTCTTCTGCGTCCATTATCCCATGGCAGTTATTTTTTAGGTTATTTTGGGTACACTTTCCCGTTCATTCATTGCGTTTACAGCTTGTAGATGTAGGTAATAATGAGGCACCTTCAGTAGCAGCATTTTTTAGGTGAGAGGCATCTATCACATTCCAAATATTTTATCGTTATGCTAAGGCATTAGAGGTCTGCCAGATCAACTGCCTGTCAAGAAGTAGGGAATGACAACCTATTTTACATCGTGTACTTTTAGCATGAGACATCGTTAATTGTCAACAGACACATTCCGCAGATTCGTGACTCGGGGAGTAGGTAGGAAACTCATCGAGGTAATGTAAGTGTGGGTGGCACCAGTAGAGGATGCAGCCTGCTACAAAGACAATTTTTCCTTACGGTGCATTAAAATCACGTTTTGTTTAAGTTTAAGTTTGTCCTATGAATGACAGTCTTACTTACTGGTAGGGAATGTAGACTTTCATATTTTCCTTGGTAAAATTAATTCTAATTTGTCGTTTCGTCCTGCTACTACCAAATTTAGTTGTATTCAGAAGCACTTCTTCTTTGGTGCAAATAAAGGAATTTTAAAGATTTGCGTAAGATTTTTATTATGCAGAGAAAATGTTCCCTGAATATAAGCATCTTTTTCCATAGTGGGACATTTTTTGTTAAGTGGTAGATCCCTTCGACCTCCTAAAGGGACCTAGGAGATACCCGACAGCCAAAGAAAATTGTAATAGTAACGAGTTTTTTGGAGTTAGAATAAATTTCTTCTTGTCATCTGAAATCTGCATAATCCCTTTCCCCCTTTGAGTGTCATCCCTCTGCACTCCCCTTAATTAACCTCCCCCCTCGACCATCGCAATGTAGTTGGTCCTGTAAGGAAATACACCCACGAACCAAACGTGCCAGTCATCGAATTGGTTTCCGTCACTGATCCCCTTGGCAATTCTGCTGGATCTGGAGTTTTGTCCTCTATGAGAATCGTATTGTGGGGGTAGGGGAAGGTACTGGCCACCACGCTTTCCCATCACCAGTGGTAGGATCACTATCCTAAAAGCAGAATCATGTAACAAAGAATGGAGATAATGTTTTGTGACTGTTCCTCGTTGCCACTTTGTTCTCACTTCAGTGCTGCCTAACCATATTGCCCATCTGAGTTCCGCCCAGCGAGTGGAGAGGTGGCGGAGGTATCGCGTATTCACTCCACTGACGTCTTCATACAGGTACTTCAGACAGCTCCGCAACGAATTTTTCCAGATGTATCATTGCCAAAGCTAGTGTCTCGCTTTATTTGTTAATACCACTCCTGCAGAAAATTGAACTGGAGTAATTACCCAATTTAGACACCATTTTTGGCCCTCTTGTTAGGAATAGTCACGGATCTTTCCCTCTGCAGCAACATGTTCTTCTTCAGTCACGTTGGGATTCATCATACACTACTAGAAATCACTATAGGTTCCCGAGTGTTCTCTAAAAGCGAAGGAAGATATAATACAGGAGGAGAATATGGATTGCTAGGATAGAAAAGGGCTGGAGGTTCCTGACAGGGCCCGAAGTCCACATTGCCAAGCAGAAGCACCAAGACCCGAGCATTAGGTATCCATGAGATCAAACCGAAATCAACACGAAACTAGAACATGTCCAGTGTGTAGGTCAGACTCAGGCCCGCAATATTCGAAGATCTACTTCGACCGGATGTAATCTAATCCGCAAACTTGACAAAAGTCCTGAAAAGTTTGAGCAACTTTAGGAAAAATACTTTTTACTAAAAAGGCTTGGAATCCTTTACAATCTATGGACGATATACAAATGTGATCCTTTATGCGACTGGAACAATGAAAGAAGTTCGCAGCACTTCCTTCGAACCTCAGAAGATGTCAAGGTAATTTATTACTAATATATTGCTTAGTGAACTCGAAAGGACACACAACTTCCTGTAAACAAATTAGCAGGTAGAAATTATATGCTCTTGCATCCTAAAAGTGCTTTCCTGGTTGCTAACTGAAGGATGTGGATCATCCACCAGATTACTTCAAATTATGCCTAAATTCGCAATTTGTTTTGAGCCGATTTTTTAAATAAATGCTTGGTAAAATAGTCAAGTGTATGTTTTACTTTTACTTACTTTAAAATCGCTAATTTTGGTTTTAAATAAAAGAGAATTTCCCAAATTTCCAGCAGTACCGACAGCCGAGGTTTAGCATCTCACAATCTAGATGCTATCACCGCTGAAAAAGCAAACTTCTAAAATTAAAAGTAGCCGTAGTTGCAATCGGCTGTTTTCGTGCCCAAATATTATGAAGTTGGTACTCAAAAAGCATATATCTGTGTCGACCGCAGTACATCAGGAGGTGTTTTTCCTCCTTAAATTGGTTTTAGAGGTGGTCCACTCGCTCGGTGAAATAGTAATGTGGGCAAATTATGTATTAACGTCTGCTAGATGACGCTGTCAAAAATGCTACCTTGTTTAGGCTCGAACCCATTGAAGTTCTCTTGCAACTGTCATCATATCTTTACTGAGGAATTCTTACCTTGAGGGCAGTGGTTCGAGACTCCTCTAAGGCGACAATTCATTTTTATCGCCCCATTCAGACCGCAAGGAAACGGGCCTCTCATTATGATCCCAATTACTATCGCTCCATCACTGCCTCATCGGCTGGAGGTAGAATAATAAGTTTTAATTTTTTTACAAGAATTCATTTATTAGTCCTTTCTGACGTTTTCCGTGCATTTTGTTTGGTGAAAGAATTATAGAACTACCTCCCAAAAAGTAGTAACTCGAATGAGGGTCTGCGATTAACTTCTAAAACAGAATCATTAGGGAATTTTGTCCTTTTTTTAATTTTTCATTAAAGTAAAAGTGGCTCATGTATTAGGAATAGTTCCTTTCTCCATCTTCACCGGGCAGATAGGAGTGCAGACACCTTCTTTTTTGCCATTCAGTGAATGATCAGCTTGTTATAGTCATTTCAAGGTGACTGCTTTTACCAATTGTCAGGATGTCCTCATTTCTTATCTTTATTGCAATAGATTTAGTCTTTTGGAAGAGGAATATTACTATTGTTGCAGACCCAGCTCTACAACGACTACTGCAGTACCAGAAGTGTAAATTTACTTCGGCAGACCTCAGACCACTAGAGAAGAACCCTACCAACTCACGACAAGGATCTTGTTTTCCACCAATCTCTCCACCACTGCTCCGCTTTCCTTTTAATGATCACCTCTGCGGAGTCCATTTAACTAGCTGCGAAATTCAAAACAGAACCTGGTGGATTAAGCAAAGTGGTGATGACTACCATCATCCTGACTACCTCGATTTCCATGGTAGCTCAAATTCTACCAAAAACTTTTCGACGTGATTATTAGGTTACTTTCAGACTAAGTCATTTTTTAAAATGTTTTTATTTAGAAGTGGAAGTGGTGTGAGCTCCAGAAATGGAAAGTTACTTTTCCAGTTCTCGGACCGCCAGGGAAGAGCCCTGCCAACTCACATTAATGTCGCTTAAAACAACGAGGATCTAGTTTTGCACCGATCTCTCCACCACTGCTCCTCGTTACGATCACCTTCACGGAGTTCAGTTGTTTAGCTGTCAGTTTCAAAGCCCGAAGTTTTCCAAACACCTACCCCTTTGAGTATGAAGTTACTCTTGAAACAAGTTATTCTTCAAATTGTTTTTCCTGAACAGGCGTAGCAATAACAGAAGTGAGAGTTACTTTTCCAGTCTTCGCACCACCAAAAAATAACCCCACCATCTCACACTTTAATGCCAAATGAACCAGCGAAGATCCAGTATTCCACGGATTTAACTACTAACGGTCACCTCCTTAAAGTCCATTCAAATCGGGAGCTGGTGGCAAAATCGAAAGGGTGATTCCAACCGTCGTCCTGAATTTTCCAATTTCTAAGGTAGCTCAAACTTCTGCTAGCGCCTATTTGCTTGATTATTAAGTTACTTTTTTACTGAATTATTCTTTAAAATGTTTTTTCCTGAACTGGAGGAGTTGCTTTTCTAATCCTCACACACTAATGCCGCCGTTTTTCACCGACTTCTTCACCACTGCTCTGCAAGCGTCTTGATAAGTAACTCCATGGAGTTCATCCATTTAGCTGTGAAGTTAAAAGCCAGAGGAAGAAGATTGGGCAAAAGGTTAGTATCTACCATGGTCAGGATTGCATCAGTGTCTAAATTAGCTCAAAGTCCTGCAAACACGTACCCGTTTAATTATTAAACTACTTTCCGACTGAATTATTCTTCAAGCTATTGTCGCAGACTACTGCAGCAGTGCTAGGAGCATGGAGCTGCTTTTACAAGCTTGGGACCACTAGAGAAGAAACTTACCGCCTCACAACGAGGATATGTTTTCGCCTCAATCCCTCCACCACTGCTTCGCTTGCCTCTTAATGACCACTTCCGTTGAGTCCGTTTAACTAGCTGTGAGTTTTCAAAACCAGAACAATGATGTCTGCCATGGACATGGTTATTTCTATTTCTGAGTTAGCTCAACGTCAGGCAAACACTTGTTTGCTTGACTATTAAGTTACTTTTCCAGACTACAGCAGCAATGTTAGGACTGTGGGTTCACTTTTCCAGTCCTCGAACAAGTAGAGAAGAACCCTACCCACTCACACTTTAATATCCCCTGAATCAAGGAGGATCCGGTATTCCACAGATCTCACCACTATTGGCCGCCTCAGCGCGGTCCATTCGGCTACCTGCGGGAATCGAATTTCAGGAGCCGGTGGATCAAACAAAGTGTTGATGTCTACCATGGCCATGATTACTTCCGTTCTCAAGTTAACTCAAAGTCTTCCAAACACCTACCTGCTTGACTACTTATGCTGTTTTATGACTGGTCGAGCAGACAACAACAGCAGCAGCACTAATTTTATGGAGGCGGAAATGGAAATTAACCATAGTCCTGTCGTTTATGTCCAAGCTTAAAACGATACACACGGAGAAAGTATACGCGCCTCTGTCATAAACCCATAGTGTTACCCATTCAACTCTGTCGGCCTAATGATTCTGGAGGTGGGGGGGGGGTTATGCATTTCATCGGCTCTGGACTGTCTGTTTATCTATTCATAGGCCAAGTTTATCTCCCCACGTATTGCAAACAGGCCATAGTGCATGCGTACCCACGTAAGGATTGAAAAAAGCCACCGAGTAGTTTTTAACCACATCTTGCCTTACTGCACTGGAGGGGAAAGTTAAGGTACCACTGGTTTTTATGTTGGTATTAATTATGGACTTTGTGCCACTAAAGTTTCCAAAAATAAGCCTGAAGAGAAGGTGCTCATTCACCGCTACTGTGAATGCCTGCTAGAGGGGCGTGGAAACGCCTAGAAGGAGGTAATAAGACAATGAAGAAAAGCAACAATTATGGCGATACACGAAATGGACTTATGCTGCATTGGAGGAGGCTGGTAGGCAGTTTTATGCTTCCTGTAACGCTTTCGTCTCCATGCAATTATCTTTTATGTCCTCAGTATCCTAATTTATAATTAAGAGCTTCTCAAAACTTGTTCATAACTTGTACACTGAGAGAGGACTTCAAGGTGGATGTAAAGGGTACAAATACATTCATGCAAACCTTTTCTCACCATATCACCAGTAGGTGTTATAGGATAGACATTTTTTGATAAAAATTGTGTAAAAATATTTTCTTTAGCATTATGCTTTAAAAGTAGGTATTTTCCGGAAAAATTTTGCCCTCTTTTTCCGGTCACTGCTGCCCTCGTCTATCACACCTAGGTAGTGGACAGAGGCAGGGTGAACCTGAAAATCTCTCCATTGTAAGCTCTGGTGAAACGGAAAATAAAGAGATATTTTAAATTGTCATAATCAGGGTAGTTTGGTGTGAAAATTTATCCTCTGTAATAGACTTAATTCTCGCTTTCACCTACTCACAAATCGCGCCGTGGAAAAGTACATCAACATGCCCTAAGTACATTTCCTACTCTGTACTAAAAAAAGATTATGCTATCTCACCTCGCCTAGGGTGCATATACTTACGTGATTGAGAACCTTTATTCTTTCGACACCTGTTGACAGCTAGAGTCATGATGATTGTTCCAAAGACGGTCCTAGGGCATCAGTGGAAGGAGCAATCAGCGGCTTCGTTCATTGGACTGCCAGTGGTACTTTAAAATAAATGTATTTAAGCACCTCAAGACTTCTCCAGAGACAAGAGAAGACCTATTACTAGGACTGATAATGCATTGTCGGCTTGTGGAAGGAGTTGGGGCCACTGGCTCGGGTCGGAGACCAGGCCGCCCAATGGAAGTGCAAAGGCGGAGCCCTAAGTCACCTCCTGATCAGAACGAAGATTTAAACAGGCAACAAGTGTTACAGTATGTTACTGTGAAAGAGGGAAGGCTATAGGCTGCTTCAGCTCGTGCTTAGCAAAGAGCATGATGCTACGATAGTAACTATAAAATCGTTCTTGGACACCTCCGATGGAAATGCGTTGTTTGCTATCCCTCGCTTAAAAATCCGAGGCTGTGAGGAAACACCTAG